GATAGTGGAATAACAGTTTTCCAAGAGACTAACAAGCCTGTGTTCACTTAATTAACGAATGAGGGCTAAATCTTCAGACTCACTCATGGAGTTTCATTTGTTCTATCCCATCAAATGTTACAAAAATCACTTGGAGGTTGTTTTTCCCACTAAAAAGTGAGGGAAAAGGAAATACTATTCTCAAACTATTCCACATAAAATCAATAAGGATAGTACCGGTCTATTGTGGCATTGCTGTGGCACACTAAAGATTAACGATGAGGATAATACTTATTTTTTCTGGCAATTCAGGAGAAAATAGATAGCACTCTCAGTCTTAACACTTCTTGAGACTGCCAGGTTACCAAAACTAACTGAGGTTATTTGGAGTGGGGATGGCTCATGTGCATATTTATACATAAATAGTAAGAAGTAATTAAATTAAAGCAGCGTTTCTCAACCTTAGGAACTTTAAGATATGTGGATTTATTAAAGGTCAGTTTAGTACTGCTTGACTTCATACTCATTACAGGAATTGGTACATTCAAAAATGATCTGTAGAATTTCATCAAAATAGTGAATGTGCCATTGCACCACATTACACACCCATTTTAGAGTCACAATGTGGGCTAAAATGGATATAAAAAATATGAAATCACTGTTTACTACAGGGGTCTCCAGACTTGGCAACTTTAAAACCTGTGGACTTCAACTTCCAGAGCATCACTGGAGAATTCCGGGAGTTGAAGTCCACAAGTCTTAAAATTGCCAAGTTTGGAGATCTCTGGTTTACTATGTCAGATCACTGATCCATGAGCATATTGCCTATAATGACCGGCAGCAGCTCCAGACTGACAGGATCAGGACCTTCCCTTTTAATCTCTTTTTGCCCTGTTGTTCTAATCCTGACCACTCCAAGCAAGGAGATAAACATTAAGTTTACTTCCTTACAGTTTAACCTTTTGACATGCTTTCTGCTCTTTCTCCATCTCTCTAGAGGATGGAATGAGATCCCTCCATGAGATCTGACTGGCCCCCACGCTGCTGGTCTTGCAAAGGGCTTGAAGACATGGTTCTTTGTTCAGGTCTTTGGGGAAGATGACTGAAGGTCCCTTTAAGTGGTGCAGAATTGCTTTTACTCTTCCCTGTTTTGCTGTCTTACATTGCTTGCTCTTGTTTGCCATTACATTGTTTTATTCCTTTTAATATTGTTTACTAATGCTCAGAGTCATTTGGAGCAACCTTTACCTTAAGCGCAGTATACTTTCAGTTTAATAACCAGTATAAATAAAAGGATCCTGTTCTTAAGAGTGAAATGGAACTGCAGGTTAGTGGCACTGGATCCATTCTACAGCAGCTAATTACTTTCCTTTAAGATCTTTTCTTCTACAGTACTCAATAAAGAAAGAAAAATACTGGAAAAACCAAGCTGAATGAAGGGACATTCATTATCTTTTGCATACATTGATCTTAGACCGGCCAATTTCCTGCTTTTCAGATAATTGGGAGAATAGATTTTGTCTGTGTGTGTGTGTGAGAGAGACAGAGACAGAGACAGAGTGTGTGTATATGTATGTGTGTGTGTGTACGTGTACGTGTGTGTGTATATATGTATATATGTTTTCTTAGATTTTCATGGGTACAGGTATGCAGGTCTTGCCGTGTTCGGGTGTTTCTCATGTAAGATTGAGAGTATCTTGGCAACCTGTTGCCAAGATACTCTCAATCTTACACTGGAAAAGACCCAAACACACCAAGACCTGCATATATACATATATACACATACACATA